ACTCATACATTATAAATACAGGACATAATGATATGGAGCTCCACTCAAATATGGGAGTAGATTAGGTCAGGGAAACACTTTATGTAACGTGGTGTTCTCATGTTATATATTGTGTTGTATCTCTTACCGCCCTATCGCCCCCCCCCCTCCCCCCATCCCACCCCTCGCCTCACCCCCCCCCCCCTCCCTCCCCCCTCCCACCCTCCCCCACCTCCCACCCCCCACACCCCACCCCCCCACCCTCCCCCCCCACCTCCCCCACCCCTCCCCACACCCCCCCCCCCCCCCTCCCGCACCTCGCCCACCCCCCCCACCCCTTCCCCACCCCAACCCACCTCCACTCTTCAGCCTCCCCCCCCTCCCCTCGTACTGCCAACAAATTTAGGGCTCTGCCTCCGAAAACTCTGGAATACAAAACATAAAATAAGTGAAAAATCTGTTTATATCATAATTTCTTCAAATGAGCAGCTACTATTATAGGGCGTCCTAATATAATGGCCAACCTAGTGTCATTTAAACAATTACTCTTGAAAGTTTAAGTTAATGGTTTAAGATGAGTGATAATTATAATGATAGCTTAGACATATCGGACAAGGTCAAATATAGGAACTATAGGAGATACACGGGTTTAACTGGAAGGGGTTTAGAGATAGGGAGAGTTGGAGTTTGTTAAGTTTAGGTGTTGTACCTTGGTGGTTCATTGGAATAGTAGGATTGGCTAATATTCAAAGGATTTACATGATTTGTCAGTTGCGGCTAGAGAAGGTGGATGGGGTTCGTACACGATTCCCGTACATTGGCTTATAGTTAAGCGTAGTTAAGAAAGTTCACAGTGAGGGGTGGATGGATGGAGGAATTGTTAGTAAATCAACGGTGGGACAGGATAGTGTGTAGTAAGTTTTTTGAGATGAAGGAGATTTAGGTTTTCCTTTATGGTGTAGAAAAAATATGCCCGATTTCCCATTCACGAGTAGTGTGGCATGAAGTGTATGGGGAGGTCCGTCTGAAAGGCGAAAAACTGGCAAAGCCAGGATACGGCGGTTGTGTGGTTGAGGGGGGGATGGTGGCGTCACATGAGGAAAGCAGGACGTAAAGTGAAGACTTGAGGTCGCCTGCGGAACATTACAGGTGGGAACACAGGGTGGCAAAATCTGTTTCCGTGACATACAAGGCTAATGAGCTGGGTAAGGCGTGGCTATGGGCCGGTAGCGTATGGTTGGGTCAGGGTGTTTCCCTACGCCAGGATTTATGGTGGTCTTTAACTCGTGCCTCAACCGGACCGAATAGAATCACTACCAATGTCAAATCCCCTTTTCCCCATAATTGGGAATAGAAATCATGCTTGGTTTTATTTGGAATAGTATTTCATCTTACCTTGGTGGTAATGACTTTTGTCGCCTAGCTAGTTAGTGGGCACTCTTTGGCCGGCAAGCACTCACGAGTGACCTACCTATCCTCACTGACAGTAGAGGTTGCCGCAAAGTGTCATGTTTTTCTTGAAATGAGACTACATCCAGGGTTAATAAATTAAACTTATGGCTGTGTGTGAGATGAGTCAATCTTTTGCCTGGAGAGTATACCATCTCTGGGACCGTGGTAAAATTATGAATGAAATGAAGCACGCTATGAGTGTCTCTCTTCAGTACGCGCTTCTGAGTACTCCTTTGAGCCCATGACGTGGTCTCAGGGTGAGTAGAGAAGGAACTCACTCCTAAGATGCGTAATTTGGTTCCACTTACAACCCTTAATATGATTTAACCCTAGCCTACGTATTTTGGTTCCCAAGTTTGGTTTCATTTGTACGTACTTACGTTGGTACGCATGGAGGACGGTCACAGCCAGGTAGCTTGTAGATAGTGTATTATTTACGTGTTTGCACGTGTTATGCAAGATTACATACATAGGGATGAGTCGGCAGTATGTAGTACTTTGATGCATTTGATTATAAAGAGAAATGTGTTATGATAAGTGTCAATGGAGACATGGATAGGGCACTGTCATTAAGAGTAAATTTTTGTATAGGTGAGCTCTACCAGCAGGATTGGGAAAGGGAACCAAACGGTTTTGTGGTTTAATAACACAAAAGAAATAGTGGGATGTTCATTTAGGTGAAAGGAGCCTCAAAGGTTACAAAAAGCAAAAGGGTATGAAGAGACATGAACTATTAATGCCTATGCTATCTCCCGATGTACACGAACGTTTGGTCATGATGGAGACATACAAAGTCGGCACAATGAGAAAAATGTTTAGAACGCAAGGTATTGATGTTAAACGGCTGCCTACTAATACATGTTAACTATTTTCTTTTTATACTAACCATTTATGTTACACTTTCGCTGTAGAATGTGATTGAGAGTAAATTATGTATCAAAAGTAAAACTTCAATCAGACGATAATAAAACACTGGATGGTCTTCATCTTGTATTTAAAATAGGGATCTAATACAAAAATACTCAACATTATCATAACGTATCTATTGATGCAATATACTATATGATTTAGTATGTATAATTAACATAGATAGTAGCATCTCTTTTCTACAAACTGACTAACCAATATTATATTATTGTCTTATATTACTTCGGATGTATTGGAATATTGTGTATAGTTCAACGCTTCATCTAGTGAGTGCTGACCCATTGAGTCGTATAGCAGTAATATCTATTTAGTATATGTGATGAGGTTGTGGAAATTAGGATCGGGTGCCTTAAGTCTTACAATATAGTTATTGTAAGATATTTTAAATATATATATACATTAAATAAATATATGTATATATTATCTAATATTAATATATATATATACCCTGTAATATAATATTCAATAACATGTTTTATATACATTGTACTGATATATGCCAATTATTGACATGTATAGCTAACAGGTACTTCAAATACGTATCATTAGGTGATTCACAGTTTGATGAATAGACCTACTCGAGATTACATATTTAATGCAATAAGCAAGCTTGTATATATAACAATTTGCAGCTACCAAACACTTATCGTACAAAATATGCCAAGCCAGCTCATTATTCATGTGACTTTGAGCATACTTGGTCAGCAAAATTCAACATTAAGACCACTGTGTCTTTACGCAGCTCCCAGGCTGTTTATAACTCTACTTTCTCTATTGACACTTACTGCGACGAACCAAGCACACGCCCCTCTCATGGAGCAGCGGCTAGAAAGGGGCAGAAACGGACGTCACTCGAGCATAGATAATTAAAAAAGAAAGGAGAGAGAGATAAGGACAGGAGGAGATCGTGCTTCTAACAGCTACATCACCACCTAATTCAGACTCCTTGGCAAACCTGGGGCATGGTCCTCCTACGTGGCAAGGTACTACACAGTTCATACCTTCCCCAACTAACCTGTGTTCTAACACACGCAAAGACGTCTCCATTTCATTCACCTAAGCACTGACGCCGACAAATGTACCTCTGTAGTTGACGTCTTGGATAGTGCCTCCTACAGCTATGTCCCCTATAACTACCATAAGCACATACTAACATCGTTATTATGACAAGGCGTATTACAAGGGGAATACTTCATGAAGCCCTTAATCGCACATTACCATGTTTGCAAAAAATATTATAACCACATAGGTATAATACCTGTAGATATGTATAAAATACCATGCATAAAGTTCACATTTATATATCACAACAATTCCTGAATAAAATCATTGATACATACTTGCCTACACTACTACCTTCGTAGACTTACATATATTCATCTCCTACCTTTCATCTGCTCATTACTCTCTCTGTCACTCTTCATCTTCATCTCTCATATCTACATTCACTATTCATTCTTATACTCTACTATACATATTTCACTCTACTTATACTCTATAATACTATCTATCATCTATTATTCAATAATACTCTCATATCCTCTTATATATCTATCACTATTACATACTCACTACAGGAGAGGAGAGATCACTATTGCTGTTAACAATTCTTACCTTTACTCTCTGACCTTCCATTCTAATACCATGGGCATAACAGTTCCATCAGCTACTTCCCTTTCGTATACTTCAAAACATACTTTCTCTATATAAATGGCACCTAAGTGAAAATATACCTATTTCTATTCAAACTTGCATTTTCACAATCTACCCTTACCATATTTTATATTCTAAACTCATTACATAATGTTTATCATATCTATTTCTACCAATACAACACACACAAAAAGATGTTCTTTACAAGAATAAATTCATCGCAAATCACTTTCACTCTCCTCTCTCTGTCCATTCCAGTACTCTCTTTTACTCTCCTTTTTCTATTTCTAGATTCCTCTTTTCTTCAACAACGTTCCTCTCTTTTTTTCTCCGTTCACTAGAATCTGCTTCTTCTCTCCACTACTGGTGCGTGAAAGATTATTCGGCAACTGCTTTCTCGGGGTGATTGACTATTCTTAATAATGTACTGTCCATTTTTCAATATCACACATACAACAACACGTCCCAACTAATCCTTGCAATGTCACTGCTCAGTCTCCATGTGGTACCATAAATACTAATTTTTCTGTGACTAAGTTCACTATATACCTACACACTATGAGATTCTCCTGTATGTCACTCGCATATCCGTTCTCTCTCTCATCCAAATCTCTCCTTCTTCTCATGCTACGAATTCGGATCCTCTTGCTTCTTCATCCACTCTCTCCTCTACACTTCTCTTCATCTAGCGTAAATGCGCGCTTCTCATTCTCGTCGTGCTCCACTCTCATGATGCTCTCATTCTAATAACTACATCTCTTCTTCTAAATGTGAATTGACTTATCTGCAAAACTCACTATACTTAGGCTTCCTCTTATATCGTGTATCTCATGTGCTCCTTCACATATTTACTCTTTCTTCACAGCTGGAATCTTAACCTTTACTGTCAAACAGTTCTCAACTATATGTTGTCTTCTCTATCTCTTGTGTTCGTTATTCCTTTCTATCCTTGTTTGTCATACCTCAGATTCGCTCCTACTTTTTATCATCTAGATGAAAACTTCTTTGCTTTTCTCGCCACTTAATTCCTTCTCATTTGTGTGTACTCTCATGTGCACAGATAGGTCACTTTTCACAGAGAAAACCTTGCTGCAAATCTCACAGAGGTAAGGTTTCTCTTTCATATGAACTCCTTTGATGTGCTTCACTAGATGACCTTTCCTAGAAAAGTCTTTGCTACATATCTCACATGCATAAGGTTTCTCACTTGAATGTACTTTCATGTGCTCCACTACATAATCTTTTCTCAAGAATGACTTATTGCACACCTTACAGCTAAAAGGTTTCTCTTTTGTATGTACTCTTATGTGAGCTACTAACCTACTTTTACAACGGTATTTCCTACCACATACTTCACAACTGAAATGTTTTACTTTTGCTTCCTTGTTCTTATTTTTGTGTGTTACCTCCTTGTCTTCCTTATGTATTGTTTGATCACCATCTAATGGGCACAATTTCCTGCAATCGCCAGCCACATCTTGTGTGGGTAATAATAAAGGATCTTCATCTTTATACACACAAAAGTCTGAGTCGTTTTTAACTCCCTCTTCACCTGGACATTTGATTTCTTCAGAGATCATATTTGCTTCATCTTCAGCCTTTATAAACACAAGTGTCTCTTTGTATATGTCCTTTGTTAAGTCTTCATTTCACTTCTTCTCCACTCCTCTGCGAAATTCTTCCTCACTGTTATATTCATCTTTAAACTTTTTTATCCCAGGACTTTCTGGTGCACTTTCTCTCTCGAGTCATCGTGGTGTCATTCAATTACTCATCTTCTCATCTCACATTATTCCGTCTTCACTCTTCAGCCTTTCTCATAAATGCACCATGTGTTTCTCTTTCGTCTAGATCTTTTGTTAATATTTCCTCCACTCCCTGGAATATCCTCCTTCAACTGTCTTTCATCTTCAACTTTTCTCATCTCCTTTCGCTACCAGGATTTCTTCTGCATATTCTCCCTCAGACATACTTGCGCTCGTTTCTCCTCTAGATATTCCTTCATTTGCTCTCTTCAACTCTTTCAGCTTTTTTCATTCCTACTCAACATCTCATCTCAACGTGTTCTCTCTCTTCTCATCTCTAACCAATTCTTCTTCGTTATTCATCTCTCTCTCTTTTCTCTTTTTCCGCTCCCTCTGAACAATCCTCTCTCTCCACTCGTACTCTTTCTCAATCATTCTTCTCTTCTCTCCTCTCTATACTCGGCAATGAATTCTCCATACTTGCTTGCTCGTCTCCCTTTGTTTTCTTAGCGCGCATAAACATTAAACTATAGTCTATAGGCCCTCGGAATAAATAAGGGAATCGTCTCGGTCGTATATAACTTCTAAGCGTTCCACTATTATGAAAGCATTACAAAATAAGCAACAGATGGCTAAGAAGGGAGAACACTCAAATTAGCGCTTGATCGAAATGCAATAAACATGAAGGGACTTGATGAAATGTCATGCATACTCTTATAAAATTAAGCGTGATCATTAAGTGTATCGTTCTGTCTACGAATTATTTCTTCCAACTCTTATATAAAACAAACAACCTAATTGTCATTGCTTCTCGTGGTCTTATCATCGACTTATTGCTCAGTTGCCATCCTGAAGGTCTGAATGAGCCAGACTCAGAATTACTCACTTTCTAATAAATGAATCTAGTAATTATATATCAGATTATAAAGTATTATGGTATGTAATTTATAATATAAAGGAGTTAATTGAATACTATAATCAATTATAATGAAATATATTATTATATCATTATATATATTCTTTAAGTGATGTGTGTGTAGATTGGGGTGTGGGCTATCTAAAGATCGCCAACAGAGTTACATATAGTGCTAAAATGTATGCGATGTATCTCACACACTGATATAATGATATTAATATATACCTAATATTATACTATTCATTATAATCTTATAATTACAATATATCATATATATGTTGAAACATTACACACACATCATGAGAGACACACACATATAATATATACACTAAACACACACACTACACTTAAACATGTTCAGTCGACAGTGAACGTGACGTTGTGATTCAGCTGACCTGGTGTGTGTTGAAGTAGGCTGTGTTAGGTATGTATAACACACACACAACACACAACTTGATCACACATACACCCAAAACACAACATCACAGCTAAATAACATACATATCACTCTAAACACAACACTACACCACACACACATACACGTCACAAGTTATGTGGTATGGTGTTTAGTGTTAGTAGTGATGTGTCGTACGTGTTGCATCGTAGCCATTGATCGTGTGTGTGCTCACGATGACTACAGCCTACAGAATCACGACCACACATGCACACACGTGCACTCGACTACGACAATGCACACACTACAACGCACACATGAGCTGACACTGATCACACACGACATGTCGATACATCGCTACGTATGGATACCACGTACAGTGCAGTCGAGCTAGACACCAAACACACATTATATCATTAGTAGTATCATAGTAT